TTGCTCCAATACCTTAGCCCTGCTCGCATTGAGGGGAGTACACGCTGTGTAGCGCGGTCCTCTCGACGGGCAAGCGTTCGAGGGCTCGACATTCGTCTTGTTCATCGGCTCCCGGCCTGGTTCCTTCCTGCTATAAGTCTCCTCGGCTCTAGCCTGGCTTCGGGTCTCTGCAAGCTCTTCCATTTGCATATACTTCTCGGCTCGGCGCCAAAGATCGTTCATGTCAACTGGTGGTTTCTTACATAAGCTATTCACGAATGGCCCCGACTTCAGAGCGATGATCAGCCGGTCCAAGGCCACGGCCGGGTTAAGATCGCCTATCTCCATGGCGATCTTGTTGAATCGGTCCATGAAGCTCCTCAAATTTTCCTTCTTCTCCTGACGAATCCCCGCCAGAGCTAGCAAGGTCATCCTGTACGGCTTACTCGTCGCGAATTGCAGGGTGAATTGGGATGATAACTCGCTTTGAGTGAAGAGGGTCGCTTGAGTCAAGAAAACATTCAAGTGTTCCTCGGGGTCGGTTGACCCATCGTACTTCTCGATCGGTATACTCTTCCAATGGTCTAGTAGGGTTGCCTCCATTATTCTTCGAGAGAAAGGGTGCCTTAGGGAGCGAGTAGTGGTTTCGGCCTTGTTGGCTATCAAAGAGGTGACTGGTGTTCAAGTTACGTGGTCGGTCGAGGCATGATACGCTGACTCCTTTTAGAGAGTAGGGGTTGACGGCACGTATGTCTGATTAAGGGTTCGAAGCTCGGCGTTCTGACGGCGCAGTTCAGCCAACTCCCTAGCGTCGGCCTCTCTCTGTCTTCAGATATCGGCCATTTCTTTGCGCAATGCGCGCAAGTCATCGTGGAGGTCGGGTTGGGCACGGTCGGTGTTCGGCCGAACCTCTTGTATCACGGGTTCAGGTTGTGTTTGGGGAATTCCATACGGGTATTGTTCTTGACCGGTCATGATGGGATTATTCTCGGGGTTAAGGATCGGTTGAGTCGATGTCGATTGTCCTTTGCGCGTTACTACCATGTCTCGGTCTCAGATGTAGAGTTAAAAGGGGCTGAAACGTCTCTTCGGCCCCACGGTGGGCGCCAAATGTTCCTGTGTTAGGATACACACTTAAATTATCCTTGTTGTAGCGGGTCTGGTCTTGGATCTAGGTCTTCTCGTCCTGCTCTGAGTAGTCTGAAGTGAGGGGGGTGCCTGCAAAGACACTCCAACGCTCTAGTAAGTGCTCGGCGTAATAAATGCGGTAGTTGAGTTAGTTCGTACATACCTCGTTAGGGTCCTATTTATAGTGGTTCTTATTGGGCCGTGATTAGGGATTGGGCCCCGAAAAATTAGGGGGTTAATCCGATGCATTATGTTAATTAATCTTTGCAATTATCCTGACGTAGGTGCGGAGTTCGACCGAGCATACCGACCTATTACGCTCGAGTTAAGAGTGGTCGGCGGTTTCGGAACAAGGCCTAAGCGTCCGCGGGTTCGGGTGTCTGGCGTAGGTCTCGGGTGTTCAGACTGTTCGGACTGGTCGGCCACCATACGGTATACTTTCTATGTTGGATGGTCAATGTTCGTTATAGTATAGGTACTAAATGCGATGATTAATCACATTGATAGCCATATTCTATAATAGGTGTTAGCACTCCCGATATAGAAAGTGAATATTCTATGTCGAGGTTGGTCACATCCTCCTTAATTAGAATGTGCATTTTTTAATATTTTGTTCATTTTTTAAATTTTTCAAAATTGTATAGTAGAAATACATCCAGACAGTTCAATACAAGATATTGTTGTCCATTTCAACACAAACACATAATAGTAAAGTTAAAGCTAACAATATATGGTGATATGATATCACAACTACAACCAATCATTTTTACATACACATAACAATCAAGAATTTTAATTTATTGAACTTCTTGTACCATTGCTTACGAGTTTGTTTTAAACCATGCAATTTAAGTTTACATTCCTTATGTTATTGTCTTGATATAATATAATCTCTTAATTCTTCATTTTTTTATTTTTTTTTATTAAAAGAAATCAAATTAGGAAAAGAATTTATATCCATTTAGTGTAACCAAGTTATTTATTGTTACTACACGTTTTCTCGAAGTAAAGCCTTACATAACTAATCCAACCTTTTTATTATTATTATTATTGATCCGTCAATTCCTATATTTTCTTTTAACAAATAATTTTATCAAATAATCATTTTTTATTCTATTTTATACGTAATAACAGAATTGGTTTAGCGGTAGGGGTTGATCCACGCTTAAGGAAGGTCAGGGGTTCGAATCCTGCCTTATGTATGTAGCCGCGTTAAATCTTGGGGTCAGCTATCCCACCCTTTGAGGTGCCACCAACGTATATATGTAACTAATTAAAACAACAACATTACAAAGTAACAAATAATTTTTTTTAAAATAAGCTTATAATTGTATATTATATTTTTTTACCAAATTTTTTCTTCATTTTTTTTTCATAAACATCTTGTAAATAGTTTTACACATAAATAAAAGAAATATTTGGCATACAATTAAAGTTAATATTATGACATAATTGTATTTTTAGTAGTTTTCAATTAATTTGATCACGGTTTCCACTACCTTATTGGTTTCTCAAACAAATTGTTGGCCCATCCTTAAAATATGGTCAATCTCAAGTTATTTGGATAATATCAACAATCTTTGTGTTCTTCCTTTGATGTTGGTTTCATCAAGGAGTTTGTGTTACAATATATTAACCAAATCAATTCCCATAAATAAAAAAAACTCATTAAAAAAATACAATCAAAAGAGATAAATAATTTGCTTTTAAATTATTAGAAAATATTAGTAAAAAATGAAAGAAAAATAATATGGTGTTGTGGCACTTGCCACTTCCCTAAAAACAAATTTTGGATCATTCAACCCATAATCCAATTTTTCTCTACCAAGTTTACATAATATCATATCTGAGTCTATACATTCAAGGCCAAAATACATTTAAGTGTCATGAATATTACCTACAAGAATAATGAGTATGAAGGAAAGTATAAGAAATAGGAATTGTCTAGTCCCAACTCACTCTATTACTTTTTACATAGTATATAAATAATTGGTCCATTGGCAAGTAATTATAAAAACAATTAAAAGCAACCGTATCAAAATAAAGTTACTACGTAATGTTATTATCGTAGTTACATTTATCATTATTATTATCACTCTCATCATCTAAACTATTGTCACCATTATTATTGTGACCACCATAAATTATTAATATTCTTTTATATAAATAAAAATATATTAAAAATATATGGTATAATCTTTTTGAATACATTTGGTAAAATTAAAAATAAAATATATAACGGAAATATAAATTTTTATAATTAAAATAGACAAAATACAATCAATTCTTATATATCCCATTTTATATTTATACTTATCAAATTATTAGATTACCTATAAATATTCTAATAATATTAATTCATTAATAATATTTTTAATACTAATAATATATTAAAAATTTATTTAATAATAATAAATATATTTTCTTTGTTATGTGAAAGAAAATTATTATTTATATAATCAAAATGGGCCAATAATTATATAATTTTAAAGTATATAAAAATAATAATATCATTACTCAAAAAAAAATATCAATAAACTAATAATATTATATTGGTATTAATTTATAAGTAGTAGTTTACTGAATGAATAACATTATTAATACTACCAATATAAAATTATTAGAGTTGAGGGAGTAGAGTTGAATTCTCATTTGCTATATTTTAATAATGTTTTAATTTTACTTTTATATGACACATTATGGTGTTATGTTATGTCGTCCATCGTATTCAACATATGTTACCCATAAATGTGAGCTTCAGCATAAAAAAAATCTCAGATTTTTATGAAAGATTAATCAAATAGCTCTAATTTGTGCGATTAAAACTTGAATTATAAGATCACAATTGTTATAATTGAAAAATCAAAAGTGTATTTAAGTCTTAATAAATTCTAACTATTCATCATTAATATATATATATATATATTCTTTCTTTTTAGCCAAAAATAAAAATTAATTATATAAATTATGTACAGGTAGAGGGGTTCGGCCACCACCCCATCGGCCGCCGAATGGCAGAACCAGGAAGCCGAATGCTAATCGGCCACACCAGGATCAGCCTACCATCATTTGGTACTCTTAATCAAAGATTAGAGGTTAATTAGTCGATTAAGGTGTATTACCTAATACGGTAAATATGTCGCAGGGCCCATGGGGCCCAAGGCCCATAAATGTCAGTATAAATAGCTTAGGACAAAAGGTAACGTCACTGTTCATTAATTATCCTAGATATTCGTGCTTGTCCTGACTTGAGCATTGGAGTGCCTTTTGCAGGGGCCAACCCCTTCACCAGCGTATTGGATCAGAGCCTTCGTTCGGCCTTTGGACTACGAGAAGACTTAGTGTGCCCTTTAGACAGGTACATTTGGCGCCCAACGTGGGGCCGAACGACGATAGCTGGAAGATTAACTAAATTGAGTTATGGCGATGACTAGGAGAACCAACACACAGGACCACCAACATGAAGAGGAAGGACACGTTGAGGTTGTTGACGAAACGGATCTTTCTGAAGCCGCGACCACCAACATGAAGAGGAAGAACACGTTGAGGTTGTTGACGAAACGGATCTTTCTGAAGCCGTTCGGTTGTTGAAGCAGGAAATGGAGGCCATGAAACAACAACGAGAAAAAGATGCAAGGGAGCTTTCGGCTTTGAGAGCTGAAAACGAGGCATTAAAAAATCAAGATACCTCATGGAGACCTACTCAGGCCACCAACACACAAACTTAAGAGTCGTATCAATCCCAAGCAATTCATACCTCGGCCCCCCATGCCTCGGCGGTAGCACCTGGAAAACTCCCTTCGGCCTTACCCACCGTTGGTCGTCCTGCAGATTTGACAACTATCGGATCACATCGGCACCCTTTCACCCCCTCCATTATGCAACTTCCCCTAATGGATAATTGGAAATCTTTACCTATAGATAAATATGATGGTACAACAGATCCTGATGAACACTTGGATGTTTTTCTGACGCAGGTAACTCTAAGCACCACGGATGATGCAGCGCTGTGTCGGATATTTCCAACATCCATTAAAGGCCGAGCCCAGAGCTGGTTCACTCGGCTCCCTCCCAACTCTATCGACTCATTCAACACTCTGTCGGCACAATTCACCATCCAGTTTGCAACAAGTCGTCCTCACAGTTCCACATCTCTATCTTTGGTTGGTCTTCGACAGGACAAGAAGGAGTCGCTTCGGACTTTCATGGATCGGTTTAATAAGGCGGCATTGGAGATCCGAGACCTCAATCCAGCCGTATCACTCCATCATCTCACAACGGCCTTAAAACCAGGACCGTTTGTCAATAGCCTCTGCAAGAAGCCTCCTTCGGATAAGAATTACCTAAGGAGGAGGGCAGACAAATATATGCAAATGGAAGAATTGGCTGAGTACCGCAATCAGGCCCGAGCTGAACCATTGGGCAAACCCGAAAAGCAAGTAGAACAACCATACAGGGGGCGAGCCAAAGAGCTAACTCTTCAGGATCGCCCGGCGCGAGGTCCGAAGTACTCTCATTATACTCCCTTAAATGCGAGCCGAGCTGCGGTTCTTGAGCAAGCACTGGCATCAGAAGTGTTGGCGGTTCCAAAAAGAGCAGCAACCCCTCCCAGGGCTGAAACCAACAAGTCTTGTAGGTATCATCACAATCGGGGACATTCTACTGAAGAGTGTGCCGCCTTGAAGGATAGAATTGAAGACCTCATCAAGCAAGGGCAACTCCAAAATTTTATCGATCGGCCAAATACATCTCAGCATCGCTCATCCTATCGGTATCAGCAGTGAGACCGACCTGAGCGCTCAGATAAACAGCGGCGTGAGCGCAGTCGATCGCGAGATCGGAAAGGTGAGCAGCAAGCATCGCAAAGGCGTGTGATCAATACCATCGCAGGGGGCTTTTGCCGGAGGAGGATCAACATCGTCGGCTCAAAAGAGACATCTATGAGTGGTTCGGTCGGTCAGTCATGTCGAACAACGTCCAAATCGGCGAATGCCCGCTATGACATTCACTGACAAGGACTTTGAAGGAATTGATCCAGTGCAAGATGACCCTATGGTCATCAGTGTTGAGATCCATAATTGTATTGTGAAGAAAACTCTCATAGATCAAGGCAGTTCGGCCGATATTTTGTACTGGAATACCTTCAAACAACTCGGCATCCCTGAGGAAGAGATAACCCCTTACAATGAACCGCTTGTAGGATTTGCAGGTGAGAGGGTCAACACCAGAGGGTTCATCAAGCTCTCCACTCGTTTTTGTTTCGACGAAAAGGAACATCGGGACATTCAGGTGAAGTATATTGTTGTTCAAGACAACACATCATACAATATACTGTTAGGTCGACCGTCATTAAATGCCTTAGGGCCCATTGTCTCTACCCCCCATCTTGCCATGAAGTTCCCCTCCGACAGGGGGAACATCCTCACCATACATGCCGATCAGAAAGCAGCCCGAGAATGCTACTTGGCAAGTCTCCGCCTACCTCCAGTTGAAGAAAGACAAACAAAGGCAAGGCGTGTTCACGCGGGAACTCCTCAGCCCTCAGAATCAGCTTCAGAATGGGACCTTGATCCGAGGTTAAACGACGAGCGGGTGGAACCGATAGAAGAAAAGGTCCCTCTACAAGTCGGCTCGAACCCTTCCTAGGTTACTTACATCGGAATTGGTTTTTCAGAAACCGAAAGAACTGCGTTGTGCAGGGTCATCATCTCTAACAAAGATTTGTTTGCTTGGACGCCTTCAGACATGCCGGGCATAGATCCAGCGTTCATGTGTCACAAGTTGTCGATTTGTCGAGCAGCCAAACCGATCGCTCAGCGAAAAAGGAAAATGGGAACAAAAAGGAAAGTTGTTGTTGAGTTAGAAGTTGCCAAGTTGTTACAGGCTCGGTTCATTCGGAAAGTGCAGTACACTACTTGGCTGGCAAACGTAGTGATGGTTAAAAAACCGAATGGAAAATGGCGCATGTGCACGGATTACACTAATCTGAACAAGCCCTGTCCCAAGGATGCCTACCCACTGCCTAATATCGACCGACTGGTCGATGGGGCATCCGGACATAAGTTACTAACTTTCCTAGATGCTTATTCGGGGTACAATCAAATCTGAATGCACCCGCAGGACGAGGTCAACACAGCTTTCATCACGGACTCGGCCAACTACTGTTATAGGGTAATGCCATTCGGACTAAAAAACGCGGGGGCAACCTATCAGCGGTTAATGGACAAGGTATTCAAGGGTCAAATCGGCAAAAATATCGAGGTCTACGTTGATGACATGGTGGTTAAGTCGAACGATCTATGTGCACACAAGGGTGACCTTATGGAAGTTTTCCACCAACTTCGGAAACACGACATGAGGTTGAACCCTGAGAAATGTGTTTTTGGCATTGCAGGAGGAAAATTCCTTGGCTTCATGTTGTCAACCAGGGGTATTGAGGCAAACCCAGATAAATGTCAGGCAGTAATCGGCATGAGAAGTTTGCGTAACATCAAGGAAGTTCAGCAGTTGTCAGTTTGCCTAACGTAACTCTCTCGGTTCCTACCCTGCTTAGCCGAGACGGCAAAGCCCATCATCAAACTGCTGAAGAAAGTAAACAAGTTCACATGGCCGGAAGAATGTCAAACAGCTTTTCAAGCTTTAAAGCAGCGCCTCGGAACTCCTCCAATCCTTTCAAAGCTCGACCCTACTCTGGACATCATCGTTTATATGTGCGTTTCGAACGAGGCTATCATCTCGGTATTAATACAAGAAAAGGAGACCCAAATGCCTATTTACTTTGTCAGCCGGATGTTACAAGAGTCGGAAGGGAGGTATCAGCTACTTGAAAAGGTCGCACTTGGACTTGTTCACACGGCTCGTAGACTTCGGCAGTACTTTCAGGGGCATAAAGTCATGGTACGTATTGACTGCCCTATCGCTAAGGTGTTGAGAAAACCTGAGTTGGCAGGTCGCATGATGGCTTGGTCTATTGAGTTGTCCGAGTTTGACATCACATTCGAACCAAGGGGATCGATAAAATCACAATGCTTAGTAGACTTTGTCAACGAATTGCAGCCGACAGGACTTTTCCAAAGTGATCAGTGGATGATCCGGGTCGACAGGTCGTCTAATAGCCAATGCAGCGGGGCCGGTGTCATTCTTGAAGCACCGACAGGCATGGCACTTGAATAGTCACTGCGATTTGCGTTCAAAGCCTCTAATAACCAGGCCGAGTATGAGGCATTGTTGGCAGGTTTGAGACTAGCCCGAGAAGTGGGCATCAGAAAATTAATCTGTTGGACCGATTCAAAGATTGTCTCCTTACAAGTAAATGAAAATTTTCAAGTCAAAGACGCCCACTTGTTGAAGTACTATCATACGTTCCGGAATATGTGCCAATTTTTTGATGAAGTAATTGTAAAATACACGTCCCGTGAAAACAATGAACGAGCCGATCAATTAGCCCGGTTGGCTACGAGCAGTGGTAAACCTGGACAGCTCCGAACTACTCTTCACCTCGAGCTCGCCGTGCCGAGTATCGACAATAGTGATTGTTTATCGGTCTCTAAGCCATCACCAACATGGATGACTGATATCACCTGTTTCATTACGGAAGGCGTTGAGCCTACATGTCCTTCGGCCGCCAAAAAGCTTCGTACTCAAGCCGCAAGGTACTCAGTTGTGGGGGGGGGGGAACTTTATCGAAGAGGCTTTTCATCTCCCCTACTCAAATGCCTTCACCCCGAATAGGCCCCTTATGTACTGAGGGAAGTTCATGAAGGAATTTGTGGTTCTCACACCAGAGGGCGAACTTTAGCTGCTAAAGTGCTTCGGACTGGCTATTACTGGCCCACACTCAAGACCGATTGCATGGAATTCGTCAAAAAATGTGTCCAGTGCCAAAAACATGGCAATTTGATACATGCCTCAGTCGAACAACTACACAGCATCAATTCACCTTGGTCGTTTGCCCTGTGGGGAATGGATATACTCGGACCATTCCTAATGGCTAAAGGGCAATGCAAGTTTTTGTTAGTTGCGGTGGATTATTTCACCAAATGGATTGAGGTCGAGCCTCTCGCCACTATCACGGCACATAATGTCCAGAAATTCCTTTGGAAAAATACCATCACACGCTTCGGGATTCCTCATGCCATCGTCACTGACAACGGGCTTCAATTCACAGATCAAAAGCTCAACAAATTTCTTCAAGACTTAGGAGTCAAACACCGATTCACGTCAGTCGAACACCCCCAATCAAACGGCCAGGCTGAGGCTGCTAACAAAGTTATCCTCTCAAAATTGAAGAAACGCTTGGGGGCAGCAAAGGGCGCATGGGCCGAGGAGCTCTCAGAAGTACTATGGGCGTATCGGTGTACACCTCAATCCACAACTCAAGAGACCCCTTTCTGACTGACATATGGCACCGACGCAATGATACCAGTTGAAGTCGGAGAACCTTCCTTTCGTCGAACACATTTTGACGAAGATTCCAATGAGGTATCTTTACGAGTGGAAATTGACCTAGTAGATGAAGTACGCGCTCGAGCTCAAATTGTAGCTGAAGCATGCAAGCAGAGGATGACAAGGAGGTTCAACTCTAACCTCAGTAAAAGAAGCTTCAAGACAGGGGATTTAGTATGGAGGGTCCAAGGTTCGGCAAGACGAAATCCGAGAGAAGGCAAGTTGGCAGCTAATTGGGATGGCCCGTTTCGGGTCCGACACAGCCTCGACAATGGCGCTTATAAATTGGAATAACTCTCAGGCAAGGTCATTCCAAGAACTTGGAACTCTTCTCACTTGAAGACATATTATAGTTAGTTACTTTTGAAAAGTTGTTATTATGTAAACACATGGTGCACTCTTTTCCTTGTCGGCCTTTTCTCCCCTTATAAAAAAGTGAAAAGGGGTTTTGGCCGACAAGGTTTTTAACGAGACACCCATAAATGAAATATCAGTTCTATTCTTCCATTTGGTTTACTCATCTTTTGCTAACTTCCGCACAATACGCCAAAGGCTTCCCTCCCGAGTTGATGAACTCGGCCAAGGATGTGCCTCAGAAATTCACGCAAAAGGCTTCCCTCCCGAGTTGATCAACTCGGCCAAGGTTGTGCCTCGGAAATTCACGCAAAAGGCTTCCCTCCCGAGTTGATCAACTCGGCCAAGGATATGTGCCTCGAAAATTTACGCAAAAGGCTTCCCTCCCGAGTTGATCAACTCTGCCAAGGATGTGTCTCAGAAATTCACGCAAAAGACTTCCCTCCCGATTTGATCAACTCGGCCAAGGATGTGCCTTCAATCGAAAACAACGCAATTCCGAGTGAGTCCTCATTCGGTCTTGCTTGGAAAGCAACGCAAATCCGAATGAGTTCCACTCGGTCTCGCTCAGAAAATAACGCAATTCCGAATGAGTCCTCATTCGGTCTTGCTTGATAAGCAACGCAATTCCGAGTGAGTTCCACTCAGTCTTGCTCAGAAAACAACACAAATCCGAGTGAGTCCTCATTCGGTCTTTCTTGATAAGCAACGCATTTCCGAGTGAGTTCCACTCAGTCTTGCTCAGAACACAACACAATTCCGACTGAGTCCTCATTCGGTCTTGCTTGATAAGCAACGCAATTCCGAGTGAGTTCCACTCGGTCTTGCTCAGAAAATAACGCAATTCCGAGTGAGTCCTCATTCGGCCTTGCTTGATAAGCAACGCAATTCCGAGTGAGTTCCACTCGGTCTTGCTCAGAAAACAACGCAATTCCGAGTGAGTCCTCATTCGGTCTTGCTTGATAAGCAACGCAATTCCGAGTGA